GCTTCTTCAATCTTCGACATCTTATTCCACGGCTTCTTCGACATCTGTTTCGCCATATCTACTATCTCCAACACCATTTCCACCGTTTCCGACACCATCTCCACCACGCTACTACAGCTTTCGGTTACCATCGGACTCCACCGCCATCTTTAGGTACATTTTCAACTACTTAGGGTTTTAAAATTGATTTTCGACTAGTTATTTTTGTGTACAAAATTGATTATTGATATGCATAAAGTACATATTTGACTGCCTAGGGTTATTTTTATGTGATTTTAGGAGGCAAAACACCCAGAAACAAGGGGTTCTTGGTTTTGATTTTGCTTGTAGTCACTATCTAGATATCTTTTTTATCAGAATAGAAGTTTTCTGCATTCTAGAGTTTAATCCCTATTCCCTATCCCCATTCATATTCACTGTTCTCCTTTGATGGGTTACAAGATGAATTATTCTTAAGTTTCTAGCTGAAGTGAGCTCTGGGTCCAACATATTCTGATGCCCAAAAGGGAACATCAGCTTGGCCTCCTTATATATGTCTCCTTTTCAAAGTCTAATTCTGTCTGCTGGAATGGTTTTGGAGCCCTTTCATTAATTCATATAAAATGTTGAAAATTTGACCACTTTTTTGGATTTCTCTTGGGATTGTGGTCAACAAAACCATGCTTGGGTTTGAAGTATACTTGGCAACCAAGAACACTAAATAAATGTTTATAAAGTTCAACCATTTTTTTTGAGTGACAAGGAAAGCCTGCAATCGCAATTCGTTACTTAAGAATATTACACGCTGATAGTCAAACTTGTAACACTGTGGTTACCAAGTCAACAATCTGACCGACTTGACTAAGTTTGCTCCAAAATTATGTAGGACAAGGAACCTGCTGTCAATTATCTAATCCATTTTCTGCCTGCTTTCATTGGATTTCATTTCATTGGAAGTAAATATATATTGAACATGTCAGTTTAGAGTAACTTTAAACACTCTGACTAATGGAACAAGAAAGAAACAGATTCCAACACTGCAACTGCTTACTAGTTTTACACATGACAGCATTGCTAAAACAGCATAGAGTGTAAATGGAATAGGAATTCATAACTAGGGTTTTAAAAATGATTTTCGAGTAGTTGTTTTTGTGATTTTCGAGTAGTTGTTTTTGTGTACAAAATACATTATTGATATGCATAAAGTACATATTTGACTGCCTAGGGTTCTTGCTTTGTCATTGATTGACTGCCATTTTGTGTACAAAATACATTATTGAATGCCTATTAAGATGCCTGTCGAGTAGCTCTAATGTTAGTCCAGTGTTGTAATGTCTTAGACCTAGATTCTGTCAGTGCTTCAAGTATAAGGTGCCTCTCCAGGGTAGAGTACTTTCAATTTTTCATTTTTATGTGATGATGTGCTTCATTTGAGCAGATTTATTTATATGCTCTTCAAAATAGGAACAAGTGAAATGAATTGAATGCCTCCTGTCCAGTTTCTTAGGATTTTCATATTTCTTTCATTTTTCACCAAACATGCCTAAGGCACTATCACTTTCTTTATACAACCACCTTACAGTTTTCTATTTTTGTGCCAATGAGATTCACAGAACCAATGGCACAAGTAGCAACAGGGAAGAGGCTACAGTATTGTTGTGAAACAACGTTTAAAATATTAACAAAAATAGAGCAACAGAAGTATCATTTTGGGATAAATCAGACAGCTTTATGTTCTTCTACTTCACATTAACCAAACTAAATGTTTTTCAACTTTTCTAAATTAGTTGTTTCTCAATAAATGATGTTTCTCGTGACCACTTGAGCAGTTGTGGGATTGTGGGAAGTATAAGCATCAAATACCAATTGACTCACAGTTTACCTGAAGCATAATCAATTTTTTATTTGCAAGGCAAACTAGAAATTTCAGAAGAAAACTGATGTGAACTGGAAAAAGACCTTTAGCTCATAAGTGCATCACACTATTACAAAACATTTAGCTCATAAGTGCACTAATATTCTGTTTCTGTTAGATGTACATTATTTATATGCATTAAGTACATTATTTTAATCCATAGGATACACTATTTTAATTCACGATTTATGAGTACTTTCTGATTTGAAACTTGTGTTTCTGATTGAGGTACATTATTTATGTTAAGTTGGTACATTATTTTAACACATAGGGTACATTATTTTAATTTATCATTTTTGTGTGCATTCAGATTTGAAAGTTGTGTTTTTTATTAAGGTACATTATATCTGTTCATTAGGTACATTATTTTAATCCACAGGGTACACTCTTTTTATGCATGATTTATTTGTACATTTTGTAGTGTATGGAGTATATTCTTTTAGTGAATATCTTATTTCTTTGTAGAGCATGGCTGGATTTATTCGGCACACCCCACCCCACCACCCCCCCCCCCCCCCCCCCCCTCTACTTAGAAATCTGATATTTACTAAACATAATATCAATGGCTGGGTACACTATTTTAATTCATGATTTTATGAGTACTTTTAATGAATAGAGCATCGCTAGATTTATTCCCTTCACTAACATTTTACTTGCAGCAACTATGTCTAGCCAAGAAGTAGATTTATCATTAAAAGAGGTTACCAAAACCTACCGGAAAAGGAAAAGATCTACAAGTAATGAAGAAGACGGAAATAAAGAAAAGGCCACTAATAGGACTGCAAAGAAAGAAAATGTTACTAATAGGACTGTAAAGAAAGAAAAGGCTCCAAAGAAAATTCAGCTCAAGACTAGGATGTCACCAATGGAGTTTAACAAAATGGTGGCAAATCTCAATGATGAACAAAAAAAATGCGGTTAAAGAGATTGGGTTTGGATCATTACTCGAGCTTAGATTGTCCAGTATGGACAATACACTAAATACATATTTGGTAGAAAACTATGATGGTTTTAGTTGTTCCCTAATGTTGGAGAGTGCAAAGATGGAGCTCACAGAGGATGATGTGGATAGCACATTAGGTTTCCCCAAGGGTGAGGTTGAAGTTGTTGAAGGGAACAACTCAAATGCAACTAAAGAATACAAAACCCTATTGGAGGAATGGAGAACACGCTGGGAATTAGATAATTGTTCTCCATTGGTGAAAAGACTTGGCCATGGTATAGTTGAGAAGAAAGACCACGGGGACATGTTCAAAAGGGATTTTGTGGTGTTTGTTGTTTCTAGTTTGTTCAAGGGCTACACTAATTGGACATCAAACTTCAAAATTTTATACTCATCGGTAGACGTGAAAAACATCAAGAATTTGAATTGATGTAGGTACATTTTTAATAGTCTTACTACAACAGTGGAGAAATGAAAGAAGTCAAAAAGTACATTCTTCACTGTACCATTGGTCTTCTTGATGGTAATACCTTTAATTCAATTTATGTTGCTTATTCTATTAATGCATTTTTTGTTTTCATACTAACTTTTTTTATTTTATTTTATTTAGGTTTCATACCTTGATAGGATGCAATTTAAAGGGCAGCAAATCCCAAGGAAATACCCTGCGATATCAGTTTGGACAATGGATATGATCCAAAAAAGATTAGCAGATGAAAAGAATTCTGGTCGGTATGGCAGGGGAAAAGTCTTGGATAGAGTTAGGAAATCGGTTGCTGAGATTGAAAACAACAACATTGTTGGGGATGGGGTAGAGGCACAGGCAGTTGGTGATAAAGCTAAAATGAGTGATGTAGAGAAGATATCTATGGGAATGAAGAAACTAACTGCAACCATAGTTGAATTTAGGGAAGTAATGGCTGAAGTTGTGAGCAAAAACACTGGACAAGAAATTATAAAGAAGACTTTCAGCAAGATGTCTAATATGTTGAACATTGCTTCAACTTCCTAGCCTGACAAGACTTCGACATTATTGGACGATGATCCAATCTTCAGCAGCGAGAGCTTTCTTGCAGCAGTTGCATCATTGGAAAAGGCAGTAGTGGAAGCATTGGAAAAGGCCACCAGAATCACCGAAGAACCTGTTGAACCTGAAACATTTTCACCACCACGCTTCAATTTGTTAACACCTATCCCCCCCCCCCCCCCCCCCCCCGCCCCCCCCCCGGATATTCAAAAACCAAACGAAACAACTACTACACTCCCTGGTGAGGAAAGAAGCACAGAAAAGGAACAAACATCGTTTGACATGTAAGTTAAACTCTAAAAGTTGTGTTTATGATTAAGATAGATTATTTCTGGTCACTATGTACATTATTTTAATGAGTATGGTACATTATTTTTATGTGGCAGTGCACTTGAGGAATCAGAGAGGGAACATGTCCAACATGAGGAGAGAGAAAAGAAAATTGAAAATTTACGCCGTCTCCGGGTCTTTCTCTGTCCGTTTAACAGTTCAGGTCCACCCGGACCCGGTTCGCTCCGAGAGGCACAGAAGCTGGCCCAAAGGGGATCGTCACTTGTGGGAATCGAACCCGAGTTATCCGGAATTCTCCCCCACAAAGAGAGCTCATTTGCCACTTGAGCTACCCTGTTGGTTTTTTTTTTTTTTTTTTTTTTTTTTGTCTTTAATATGTGGTAAAAAGTAATTTTTCTTGCAGTGAAACACTGTTTAGGTATAAAAGGTACCACATTGCAAGGGACCAGTTCTTGACTCTACGGAGCGGTGAAGTAGAGAAGACCATTGTAGATGTTTGGAGCTTAAGAATGAATTCTGAAAATATCACTCGTGGAATGGGTGAACCAAAATGCATCTACTTCACCACCCATCCTGTTGTAAGTGCCTGAACTTTCTCTTATATTAAAAAAGTAAATTGATAATGCAAGTTCTTATTGATTATTAGTTTTTCTGCACAAAGTACATTATTCTTATTCACAGGGTACATAATTTATGTTCACAGAGTACATTATTTGTGTACATAAAGCTTAGGTGTATATAATACAAAATTTGATGGTGTAATATGTTTACTTAGTAATATAATTTTGTGTTCAAATGGAAATTGATGATGCTACTGAACGGAAAAGAGAATTCTCTGCAGAGGAAAAACAAAGACGATTCAATGAATCTTTGGATTATGAGCTTAAATTGGCCTCTAACATTGACATCTCTGATGCTGAACTGGTAATTTATCATGCATAATATTATAAATTAATAAATTATGTGAAATTCATTTTATATACACTCATTGGATATACTTCTAAAATCATATGTATTTAGGTTTTCTTCCCTGTTATACGCTATCATCACTACTTCATCATGTGCTTGAACTTCAAGAAAAGGGTTGTCCAAGTAGTTGACAATAGAACACTGGGCAAGAATACCAACTTTCTACAAAGATATGATAATTGAGATCAAAACCTAGTAAGTTGCAAAATCTAAGATTGTTATGGGTTTAAATTGAATACTGTTAGGTACTTGATATATTATAATGAACATTAACTAATGTGCAGGTTAATGCATTCAAAGAGTATTGCAAATGTAAAAGGATCACAACTTTGTTAAACAAAATGACAAAGCATGATGATGATGATGATGATGTGTTTAACCATGAATTGGTGAAGATGTCTTGGAAAAATGCCACTAATGTTACTGATTGTGGAGTTTATTGCATGCGTCATATGCAGACCTTTAAGGGTAATGGACCGAATTGGGAATCTGGATTTAACAGAACACCTGCAAATGTAAGTACTGTGATTTAAAGTACATGTTTTTCATTTTTATAAATACCTAATTGGACTTATATAACTGCCATTTTGTTTGAATATAAATGCAGGCAATATTCTTGACATCTTTGAGGGCAAAATATGCTGCCGACATATTATTTTTACTAATGAATGAGCACAAACAATCCATACTACAGGCAGCTCGTGATCTTTATAAGTAGACAATAATCATTGTAATTGATGGTTCTAAAATGTTGGATTAATATTGTTGGTTTTTGTGTTAGATGAAATTTTTGTTTAAACAATTTAGAGATGGTGCTGAATTGGGTGCTAGCTAGTGATATCAAGATATGCTGAAATTGTTCATTTGAACTGTTTGCTTTTCATTATGTGTTAATTGCTTTTCAGTTAATTGCTTTTCATTGTGGAGTTAATTGCTCAATTAGCAGAAGCTATTGTGGAGTTAATTGTTTTTCATTAGGATACATTTTGTTAACTCATAGGGTACATTATTTTAGAGCACAAGGTACATTATTCTAACTCACATAGTACATTACCAAAAATCAAGTGAACTACAACTGCATGGATACATTTTGTTAACACATAGGGTAAATTATTTTAGAGCACGAGGTACATTATTCTAACCAATTTAGTACATTACCAAATAAGAAAACATTTTATTAATGCATAAAACAAAAAATATGTTTTTAGAAACTATAAAAAGTACTATAAAATTAAAAAATAAAATATAAAAATTATTAAAATATGTTTTGAAAATATAAACAAAGAAAGAATAGTTCGTTTTAGCAACAAACCCTACCCTAATTTCCCATGGGGGCGGGGATAGGGTTGGGGTTGAGGAGTATACCTTCCGCCATCTCTAAGTGATGATCAATTCATGAACACGTGACCTTAACTAAGATACATTATTTTAGAGCACAAGGTACATTATTCTAACCCACAGAGTACATACCAAAATCAAGTGAACTGCAAGGATGCATTTTGTTAACAAATAGGGTACATTATTTTAGAGCACAAGGTACTTTATTATAACCCACCGAATACATTACCAAATCAGAAAACATTTTATTAATGCATAAAATCAAAAAATATGTTTTTAGAAACTATAAAAAGTAACATAAAATTAAAAGTCAAATTTAAAAATTATTAAAATATGTTTTCAAAATATAAAATAATAGTTCGTTTTACCAACGAACCCCTCCCCTAATTTCCAATGGTGGCGTGGACGGGGTTGGGGTTGAGGAGTATACCACCCGTCATCTCTAAGTGGTGATCAATTCATTAACACGTGACCTTAACTAAGATACATTTTGATAACTCATAGAGTACATTATTTTAGAGCACAAGGTACATTATTCTAACTCATAGAGTACATTACCCAAAACCAATACTGCAAGGATACATTTTGTTAACAAATAGGGTACATTATTTTAGAGCACAAGGTACATTATTATAACCCACTGAATACATTACCAAATCAAAAAAAAACATTTTATTGATGCATAAAACCAAAAAATATGTTTTTAGAAACTATAAAAAGTAACATAAAATTAATAAGTCAAATTTAAAAATTAGTAAAATATGTTTTGAAAATATAAAATAAGAACAGTTCGTTTTACCAAAGAACCCCTCCCCTAATTTCCCGTGGGAGCGTGGACGGGGTTGGGGTTGACGAGTATACCACCTGACATCTGTAATTGGTGATCAATTCATGAACACGTGACCTTAACTAAGATACATTTTGATAACTCATATGGTACATTATTTTAGTGCACAAGGTACATTATTCTAACCCATAGAGTACATTACCCAAAATCAAGACTGCAAGGATACATTTTGTTAACAAATAGGGTACATTATCTTAGAGCACAAGGTACATTATTATAACCCACTGAATACATTACCAAATCAGAAAAGATTTTATTATTGCATAAAACACAAATGTTCATAATCTGTCAAGTACAAATACTTCCTTTAAAAACTCACATAATATAAAACCAATTCATAATCTGTAAATAACTCACACAATATAAAACCAATTCATAATCTGTGAAGTGCATATATAAGTAAACAAAATTTCAGTACAACTCCTAATTATCATTTGAATTGTTTTGAGACTTAGACCTAACACAAATCAATTCTGAACTAGTAGTGTCATTAGGATGAACAAGATACCCACTACCAACAATAGTAGATACAACTTGCTACATAGAAGATTGGACGGCAGCCTTTGTGTTAGATTCAACTCTTTTTGCATAATTTTTTCGGCCACTTGCTTGATTATACTTTTTTTGTACTGTACTAACTGGCCTTCGATTACGGTCGTCTTTCACACCACTTCGTTCTAGATTTTGTATACCACCACTTTGCATAGATCTTTCCAAATCATCAAAGCAAATAGGACCACCCTCACCTTCAATCTTTCTTCTTCCATCTTCAATAAGGTTTTCACATACTTGTCGAGCTTTGCAATTGTCTTGACTTGATAGAACTAACCTTTGCCCTTTTCTACCCATATCTATAACCCAAATTGGAGAAGGAACTGTCAAAATACTAGAAGAAGATGCAATGTCCATAATCCTGTGTTCAACAACCTTTTTTGTCCACCTTCTACAAATATATTTCTCAGGAATTTTTTCAACACAATGAATGTTCAAAATACGCAAACAATGTGAACAAAGAATACCCATCTCGGAGAAAAACTTGCAAGTACAACATATGTTCATATCCTTAATATTGAAACAAACCTCATGCCGAATAATGTCAATATCCAGCCGCCAAATGTGATATTTAAACTTATCAACATTGCTCACTACACTCTCTTGATGACAAGCAGCACCTTTCAAAAATTGTTGTTCAAACAAGTAGTAAGCCTCAATAGTGTATACATTCCTAGCATGTAAAACAAGTTTTACATGATCCAATGCCATTGTAGGCAACCCTTGAGAACAATTCACATCTTCCCCATTCTCTTTGCTCCTCCACTCAGAAACCACATTAACAAAAGAGTTGTAAAAATCAGACAACCCAGATGTTTTAGATAACCTTCTTGAAATTGAATGATTTGTAGTCTCACTCCGTTGGAAAGATAAGATACCTCCAGAGAAGTAATCTTTATTAAAAGCAGGGCACCACTTCTCCCTAATATCATACAATTTGTTTAACCAAACATTTTTATGACAATTATAGTCCGTCACCAACCTGAAAACAACAAATCTGAGTGTGACTGCAAAGGTAAATTTTCAGAATACATAAGGTACATTATTAAAACACATAAAGGGTACATTTTATAAACACTACAATTTCCTACTTAACATGAAAGGTAAAACTGTATGACACTTCATTTTATTAGTACAAATTATTACATGCTACAAAGGAATCACATATAGAGAACAAGGAAAAGATCTAAGTTCTAAATGCAACTAGAAAAATAAGGAAAAAAAATTATCAAATTGCTGCTGCAAAGGTACATTTTCAGAATACGTAAGGTACATTATTAAAACACATAAAGTACATTTTATAAACACTACAATTTCCTACTTAACATGAAAGGTAAAACTGTATGACACTTCATTTTATTAGTACAAATTACTACATGCTACAAAGGAATCACACTTAGAGAACAAGGAAAAGATCTAAGTTCTAAATGCAACTAGAAAAATAAGGAAAAAAAATTTATCAAATTGCTACTGCAAAGGTACATTTCCAGAATACATAAGGTAGATTATTAAAACACATAAAGTACATTTTATAAACACTACAATTTCCTTATGACACTTCATTTTATTAGTACAAATTACTACATGCTACAAAGGAATCACACATAGAGAACAAGGAAAAGATCTAAGTTCTAAATGCAACTAGAAAAATAAGGAAAAAAAAATTATCAAATTGCTACTGCAAAAGTACATTTTCAGAATAAGTAAGGTACATTATTAAAACACATAAAGTACATTTTATAAACACTACAATTTCCTACTTAACATGAAAGGTAAAACATCACGTGTTTGATTTTATAAGCACAAAGTAATCTATGTCACAATGCAAAAATGACAAATCAAATATATAAAATGATAAAATAAATAGCATATGTACCTATTCCAATAAAATTCAAACTCAGCTTCTGTGTCCGTGTACTTCAATAGAAAATTAAATAACTCCATAAAGCCGTTTTGACTCCTTAGACATTTAATATGTTTCTTTGAATTCTTTCCAATATGCCAAATACAAAGTCTGTGTTTTGCACTTGGGAAAACTTGAGAAATTGCAGCAGACATAGCAGCACATTGATCGGTCATGATTGTTTGTGGACGCTTACCACCCATAGCTCGCAAAAATGTTTTAAACAACCAAACAAATGAGTCGATCCTCTCGTTCAATAAAAACCCACACCCAAACATTATATTCATACATATGGTGATTCATTCCAACAAAGGGACCACAAATCATATCATACTTATTAGTACGATACGTTGTGTCATGCACTACCAAATCACCAAACACAAAATCCTCCTTCATTCTTGCATCCCTCCAAAAAAAAATTACACAATCTTGCATCCTCATCTAATTCAAAATCAAAGAAAAAGTCGGGTTCATTCGGCTGCCTTTGTCTGAAGATCTCAATTAGTGAATTTGAATCGGTCCCATCTAATCTCTTTATCGAATCTATATGCAGGCTATTATAAGCATCCCTTGGTGTAAATCCAACCAAAGGTGAACCTCCAGACTGGTGTTTCAAAAATCGAATGCCATCCGACAATGCAACCCCGCTCCTTTTCAAGTTTTTTAAATAATCCAATTGGGTATCAACAACACTTCTGTGTGACCGAAAAAGATAGCTGTTAGAAGGTGGACACAACTCATGGTTATGATCCTTTACATGTTTTGTCACAATCAACTGTCTATTAAACACCAAATCAAACTTACAAAACGCATTACACCATGTTCGTGTGTCTACCCTTGAATATGACCTTGAAGACTTTTTTTTGTTGTCCTTAAAACCACTCTTTGCACAGTGGAATTTCTTCATTTTAAACAGTCTGACTACCGGAAACATAGTACTGCTTGCCCTTCCTAACACTGAATCTCAATCTAAAAGCATAGTCATTATATAAATTAAATGCTTCTTCAATTGAGGTAACTGTAATCCCCAACAACTCCTAAGTAACTGTAAATTTCAAAAAATTAATACAACTAACAAGTTACTAGCATAACACATTGATATTATGTTTAGTGAATATCAGATTTCTAAGTAGAGGGGTGGTGGGGTGTGCCGAATAAATTCAGCCATGCTCTACAAAGAAATAAGATATTCACTAAAAGAAAAAACTCCAATCCATACTCAACAGAATGTACAGATAAATCATGCATAAAAATAATGTACCATGTGGATTAAAATAATATACCTACTGACCAGGTATAATATACCTTAATCAGAAGCACAAGTTTCAAATCAGAATGCACACAACAGAATGTACAGATAAATCATGCATAAAAATAATGTACCCTGTGGATTAAAATAATGTACCTACTGAACAGAAATAATGTACCTCTAACAGAAATACAATATTCACAACAGAACATGCAAATACTTTATTGTAACACAAAAAAACAATAATAAAGAACGAATCATTCCATCAATATAATTAAAAAAAACAACTAATAATAAGTAGATAATAATAAAAAAGTTTTTTAAAAAAAAAAACCTGGAATTGAAGAACTCTCATCCATAGCATTAGAAGAACTAGCTTGAACTCCAATTGGTGAACTCTCATCTGCTGCACCCCCCGAAGTGCCATCAACTGTAAATAATTTACATTAAACATATAAATAATATATCTAATAAACACAATATGCATGTTCAACAATGTAGTATATCTTGCACAAAAATAATGTACTACATGAACAAAAATATGTACCTTGTGAACAAATATTATGTACCCTGTGAACAAATATTATGTACCCTCACACAACCAACGAAACAAACTTAGGCACAATAGATCAAAGCATTATGGAAGACAAACCTGGAATTGATTCAACATCAATGGGAGAAATAGGATCAACATGAATCAAAGCATTCACATCTTCTACAATATAAAAAATACGCAATATTAATCAAAATTCAAAATAAAAATGAAACTAAATTGCATATAAACAATATACATACCTGTAATATCATCATCTAATTCAATCGCATCAATTGTGTTGTTTGAATCATTGATATTATCCATGATGACGGAGAAGAAGCAATTCTAGGAGAGAAAATTGCGGTGAATTGTGGGCGAACGAAGAAGTTGCAGTGAAAATTACAGTGAATTGCGGTGAACTTTGTTTTCGCGGAGGAGAAAACGAAACAATGACCAACGAAGAAGGACGAGAAAAGGAAACAATGGATAGGGAAGGAAGGAAACAACAACCGACGCTAACGCCGTTAAAACTAGACTTTTGAATTTTTTTTCTTTTTTTAAGATGAAACGGTGTAGTTTTGGACCATGGTCTAGCCAACTTGGCTGGACCATGGTCCATGCAATAACAATTGTCATTTTTGTGTAGTTGAGTTACAAATAGTTATTGCGTGTATCGTGCTACGGTTCAAATATTTTAATCAAATGAATGGCTCAAATTGATCAGATTTTAATTTTTCGTTTAAGATTTCCTAATTTATCCTTAACGAATATGATTATCGGTTTAACTTTTCCGTTAAATATTATCTTTTCCGTTAATTTCGGTTAGTTCACTGTTAACTTACTCATTAATTTCAATAACAAAGGTTTAAGTTCGAACCTCATCCCTCAAAGTTGGCATAATTAGTACTCTATTTTACTATTATTAAATTAAATAATAATTTAGTAGCTACAACCAAAAATAATACATATGCACTTCTTTAATTTAGAATTATGTGTCTACAATGTCTTTATTCAAAAAAAAAATATTCATTATCAATAAATTAAATAAGAGAAATAATTTCATTAGTTATATTGTATTTATTTTTCTCAAATATAAAAGTTCTTTACATTCAAATTCATCAATTGATTATATTTGCTACAATGTCCCTACAATGTCTTTATTAAAAAAAAATATTCATTATCAATAAATTAATTAAGAGGAATAATTTTATTAGTTATATTGTCTTTATATTTCTCCAATGTAAAAATTCTTTACATTCAAATTCATCAATTGATTATATTCACTACATTGTCTATTATCTTTTTGGTGCACTATTTTTTAATTAAATAAAGCCAATCATAATAACTACTTGAAGGATTTGTTGGCAAAGAGAGTATTCTAATCACACAACAAATTGAAGTGAGAATTACCTCGCAATGTCATTGTTTGACAATCAGCAATTAGCGGTTAGAGATAGCGGATTATATTAGCGAATTTGACCTGCGAATTATATCAACGGTTGGGAAAAAGATATTTGAAAAAATTAACTGTTTAGATTACCATGTAAAATGACCTAAGGGTATAATAATAATAATAATAATAATAATAATAATAATAATAATAATAATAATAATAATAATAATAATAATAATAATAATAATAATAATAATAATAATAACAATAATAATAATAATAATAATAATAGTTTTAAAAAAATAATATAAAAAAAAACTAAGCCAATCATATTAACTACTTGGGAGATTTATTGACAAAAAGATATTCAAATCACGCAACAAATTGAAGTGAGAAACTATCTCGCAATGTCCTTGTTTGGCAATCCGTAGTTAGCTCTTAAATATTAGTATATATTTAATATTTTATGACCTAATTTTTATTTTCTCTCCCTTATGTCAAATTTAACATTCAATTGTCTATGCATGAACAATTCCAATATAATCTTGCCCTAATATACTTTAAAATACTTATTTAAAAAAAAATATTGGGCATTATCTCAATCGCGCAATGTGCGTAAAAAACTAATTTTTTAATAAAATGAATGGCTCAGATTGATTAGATTTTAATTTTTCCTTAAGATTTACTAATTTATCCTTAATGAATATGATTATCCATTAACTTTTCCATTAAATATTATCTTTTATGTTAATTTCTGTTAGTTCACCGTTAACTTACTCATTGATTTCAATAAGAAATGTCTTATGTTCGAACCCCATCCCAATCAAAGTTGGCATGATTAGAACTCTATTTTACTCTTATTAAATTAAATAAAATAATAATTTAGTAGCATTTCTTTAATTTAGAATTATGTGTCTACTATGTCTTTATTCAAAAAAAATTATTCATTATCGATAAGTTAAATAAGAGAAATAATTTCATTAGTTATTTTGTATTTATTTTTCTCCAATATAAAAATTCTTTACATTCAAATTCATCAATTGATTATATTCGCTACATTGTCCATACAATGTCTTTATTAAAAAAAATTATTCATTATCAATAAATTGATTAAGAGAAATAATTTTATTAGTTATATTGTCTTTATATTTCTACAATGTAAAAATTCTGTACATTCAAATTCATCAATTGATTATATTCACTACATTGTCTATTATCTTTTTTGTGCACTATTTTTTAATTAAATATCAAAGTTATAATACAAAATAATGCTATATATTTATTTACCAAGTATTTTATTAATACCATGAAAAAATTAAAAAATATATATAATTAATAAAGTCAATCATATTAACTACTTTAGGGATTTGTTGACAAAGATAGTATTCAAATCACACAACAAATTGAAGTGAGAATTATCTCGCAATGTCCTTGTTTAACAATCAGCAGTTAGCGGTTAGTGTTAGCGGATTATATTAGCGAATTTGACCTGCGAATTATATCAATGGTGGGTAAAAAGATATTTGAAAACATGTAAAATGACCTAAGGATATAATAATAATAATAATAATAATAATAATAATAATAATAATAATAATAATAATAATAATAATAATAATAATAATAATAATAATAATAATAATAATAATAATAATAATAATAATAATAATAATAATAATAATAATAATAATAATAATAATAATAATAATAATAATAATAATAATAATAATAATAATAATATATTTTGTATAAGGACATTTATGTCTTTTAAACATATATTCCTTTTCTATTCCTTAACTAACCAAACGTTGGAATACAATTCCTAAAGTCTATTCCTTCAGCGAACCAAATAATATCATATAATTCATATTCTATTCCTTACTTATTCCATTCCCCCTGGAATAGCATTCCTATTCCCTCCAAATTGATTCCGTGAACCAAACAGGCCATTAGGGATTTGTTGACAAAGATAGTATTCAAATCACACAACAAATTGAAGTGAGAATTACCTCGCAATATCCTTGTTTAACAATCAGCAGTTAGCGGTTAGCGGATTATATTAGCGAATTTGACCTGCGAATTATATCAACGGTGGGTAAAAAGATATTTGAAAACATTTAAAATGACATAATAATAATAATAATAATAATAATAATAATAATAATAATAATAATAATAATAATAATAATAATAATAATAATAATAATAATAATAATAATAATAATAATAATATAATAATAATAATAATAATAATTGTTTTAAAAAATAAAAAAATAAAATTAAGCCAAGTATATTAACTACTTGAGGTTTATTGTCCAAGTATCTCGCAATGTCCTTGTTTCGCAATCATCAGTTAGCTTTTCAATATTTGTATATATCTAATATTTTATGCCCTAATTTTTATTTGGTCTCCCTTATGTCCTGTATTTGGTTTCAGCTATACCTATACAATTATTTTATTGACAATTATAATCAATCTTGACTATATTATCTTGCATTTGTAAACTTAGAATTGCTTATTTAAATATACAAATATAACATTTAATTATCTATGCATGAACAATTCTAATATAATCTTTCTTTAATATACTTTAAAGTACATATTTAAAAAAAAATAAAAATATTGAACATTATCTAATTGCGCAATACGTGTAAAAATCTAGTGTTAACTATAAGTACATAATTTAGACACCGATCCACTATATGCATAAACATAAACCCTGATCTAAATCTAAAATATAAGAATTGACAATCGTTATACCATACACCACATTGCACGTAGGTCTATGCGCCTACGTGCAAAACGGTGGCGTTTTAATATTACTCCGTTAGTGGATATTTGACGGGACGGGCGCCTCTCCGTCCGTCCAATCACATTTAAATATATATATATATATATATATATATATATATATATATATATATATATATATATATATATATATATATATATATATATATATATATATATATATATCAAACCTTTCTTCTTCACGAAGCCTTCAATTACCACTCCCTGCAATTCAAAAATGATCACATTTTTTTCGCGAACTACGCCAAAAACCGCAAAAACTTCACCACATTCTTCTGCAAAAGGGCATACAACATCGCAAAGATACAAGTAAGCATAACTACTATTACTTCTCATTCCAAACATTCATGCTATTACTTCATTGTGTTAATACAGCAATGATACCAAGGGTTACATATTACTTGGACTTGTGTATATTCTGGTATAAGATTATGTACATTACTGTTTTCAGGTCCTATGCCTTATCATTGATAACCGCTATTTTTATACTCCACATTATGTGTATTCCTGATATATGTTATGTGTATTCATGGTATATGTTATGTGTATTCATTCATTATATTATGTACATTGGTGTTCTCAGTTGATATACCTCATCATAGATAGTCATTATTCTTCTATTCCAAAATTATGTGTATCCTGGTTATATGTTATGTGTATTTCTTCATAGCATTATGTACATTACACATTTGCATCCCTGCAAACTTCTCAATCCCAGTATATTGTCTGTCTGGTGTTAATATTAGTGTTACCTAATACTTAAAACTGTTATTATGTCAACTAGGGTTACATATTACTTATACTTGTGTTTATTCTGATATAATATTAAGTACATTAATGTTCTCAGTTCCTATACCTCATCATAGATAACCATTTTTCTTATATTCAACATTATGTGTATCCTAGTTATATATTATGTGTATTCATTCATTAGATTATGTACATTGTATATTTGCACCCCTGTAAAATTCTCAATCCCAATCTACTGCCTATTTGGTATTAATATTAGTGTTACGTATTCCTTATATTTGTATTTATGTGTATTGTGTTGTTACAGATATGTCAACCCCTACACCCACTAATCCCCGGAGATCTCCAAGAAAAAGGAATGTTGCACCT